GTTTCTGGACACTCTAAAACTACGAATTTCTAACGCTCACCGATTGATCGTGGGCAATGCTTGATTCAATGCCTCATAGTCACCTAGTTGCAACGTAACATAATACTGAACACGCGCTCATGAAGTCAAAAAACTGGCTCTATAGAAAACTTCACACATTCCTGACAGCTTCGATACTTATATTTATTCAGTTATTTTCCCTCATTTTCTTCTCAAGCTAGACACGATGTGATATATAATTCTTTATTCAATACCTGACGATTCGGCAGTGCGTCTCCAATTGCTGTTTAAAAAACTTGACTAATCAGCATTGTGATCGCCAATCACGGTCAACGATATGCAATCATTTGCTGGCCAATGACTAGACACTTTCACTTTAGAAGGAATGGGAGTGGCGATAATGAAGTTGGTGAAGTCCTTTTGAGCTGCCTATAGCTTTTGAAATTTTTTCACGCGCATATACTGCGTCAAGGATCAGAAGAGATAACAGTTCGATAGAGCAATATTATGGCTATATGGTGGATGTGAAACCATAGTCGGGCTTCTGCAAAACGAAGCAAATCAACTTTACAATGTTAGCCCATTTCATTTAGATGGCAATTAACAGGTGCGCCGGCTAAATCCAAGTGTCTGCTCAAGCTGCTGGAACACTCTCCAAGATGCTACAGCTTCTTGGCATTGACTCGATTTGAAATGAAAAAAACTGAGTAAAAAAATAGTGTGGAAGAAATGATTGGCGAACCCAATACATAACATTCGAACTTAGACGCACTTCACCTATCCCAAGGGTTTTAGAGCTCCAATCCTTTAGCGGCAAAAGAGTGGCAATAAAACGGAGATTTTAGTAGAGTAGCGGTTACTGTGCACCCTCGGTATGGGTGAACTGCGCATCACATGCGCCTGAGATCGAATGTTTTGCATATCACTCAGCATCCTTGAATATATAATGGCATCATAACACTGCTGTAATAGCGGTGAAATCAAAATTGTTGTAGACCGTCAATACTTCTTGGCATTGTTTTATTACACAGATTTCTTTCCAATTTATTTCGGCAGTTTGTGGTGCGATGGTGCTCGAACGGTTTGCCTTGCTACTGTGTCATAGCTTGGAGGCTTATGAAAGTGTGGATTAAAAATAGGGTTCGATGACTACCAGGTGGAACCCCTACTCTGGCAGTTTTGTTGATCAAAATATCAGTTTGACGAACGAGACTGACGCAGTTGTATGAAGCGATTGGAGCAATCACACTCATAACAGCCACGAACGAAATATAATGTAACAAATCTCGAAAAGACGGCTACAAACATTCTCAAAGACCACATGAACGTTTCGTTAAATCATTGATAAATTTGGAAATATCTCATGAAAGCTATGTTTTCAAGAGTTGGTTTAGTGGTGTCATAGTCACCTTATGTCAGTCATTCATATTTCACGCCAATGAGTAGGTGCAAATTAATTGAATTTCTTTTTGTTATCCAGACAGAGTGCTTCAGTACTGTGTGATTCCTACATTGTTAATGATTCTGTTCTCTCATCTGCCCACTTTATTGGCTTGTATTTTCATGATTGGGGATCACTTAGTAATATTTTGTTTGATGACTTGATAACGTTGGAAGTTTGATGGGCATAAAACTTGTTTGATACTGCCTTACCTATTTAAAAAATGGACGGCCCGTTGTAAGTGGTAGTACGGACTTTAATATAAGTTCCACTCGTATCTCTGAAAGCGATAGAAGAAAGATATGATGCTCAGCGAATCCCTAGATCGAGGAGGACCCAATGGGCTACTCTTGCACGCGAAAAGGAAAAATGGAAGAGTTGCTGGTACCCGCTCGAGTCACTCGACGATCAACGGGACGACAGGTGATACAAGTGATCTCTGCCACCTTTCCTCAGAAATACTTCTGTTAACACGGCACTCGTCGATAGTAATGGTCGGCGGTTGACATTATTTTGTTTTCGCTGATAACCGAGTACTGCACGATAGATTGCCGATAAAACAAATGTGTTATCACTGTCAACAGTATGTCAGTCTACATATCATCCTGTTTATAGGGATGTTCGCCGAGTGAGGCCCTTCATTAGGCTACTGCTTTACCGATGAAGGTTCGTCCTAAGTGGAACGAAGACGAAAATTGCAACGGAGTCGGGTGACTGCGAACGTCTATTCGATTCATCGACTGTGAGGAATACGAAGATGTCGAACCGTTGGCCGACTAAACATTTTCGTCATCCTTGTGTAGGCCCAATCATTCACGAAAATAATTTTCAGTGCCGAGGTTAAAAAATGGATGATATGAAAAGTCATCAGCTACTGAGAGTGTCTGCCAGCAACAGTAAAACTGAGATGATTTGCTGCGGAAATTGCTGTGGACAAAAATTTTTTGCTTTATGTGGTAAATCATTCATGATGCACTTCGACCTGTAACGAGGCCTGAGTTAGCGTAGTATGCGTTTCGTTATTATATTATTTAGCCGATATTTCTCAACGAAAATTCACATAAAGTTGCGTTGAGATTTAGAAAATTCTGAGATCAATAACGATTTCAAATGATTTTTGCGCATTCTTTTAGAACTTCAAGAGCTTATATGGCTTTCAAATTCGATTTATGCATGTGCATCCTCAGCGGTCTTTTTGTGAGAGATATCGTTGTGTCAGCCGGGATGCGAACTCAGATCTTACTCTTTCCGGGAGCGTGTGCTGAACCGTTGCACCACCAAGGTTCGTTTTGCACAGCACTCTTCCTGCGCTTCAACGAGCTATCTGGTGCAACGGTTCAGCACACTGCAGGAGTGAGATCTGGGTTCGAATCCCGGCAGACACAAATGTTCTTGCATCCACTCTACATTATTGGGTTTATTGCAACATCATACCGCCGCAATACACTATGAAATAAAGGGAATTCTGAGAGATGTCGTTATTCTGTGAAATTGCGCAAGCCTTCGAGAGCGACTACTTTGTTGAAGAACCTCACTTGACGTTTTGTAACTTAACCTTGACTGAACAGATACCCTAGTGTTCCATATTATGAAAGCGAATGCAATGCACCATGTTTCTTAGGGATTCAGTGATTTTATCGGCTGTTGTAAGATATAATGCGATATCCGATCTAATAACTGGGGATTGTCGTCTTGGTCTTGCTCATCCATTACTTGCCGGATTCCTCAATGACATAGTTGGTGTGTATGACTTACCGGGGTAGAAAAGGTGACCAAGTAATGAAGAGTATTTGCTGCAGTGTTTTTGTGGAATGATCGTGATAATCCACATGACAGTTCTAATTCATTCTTTCCTTCATATTCGATTTCGAATGAAAGTTCAAACTGTATGCTGAAAACCGATCAGACAAGGATGCAAAATTCTGTTGCGGCCGTGAAATTGACTAGGTTGTCAATATACACCTAAAAATGCCGAGTGGTTTCAATTCATTCGGCATCAGATGAGAGCTGAACGCGCCGCATTTCACCCAAACCGAGGGTGCGTGCAACCATACAACACCGATGCTATCGATCTCCTATCACTTTTTCTCTATGAAAAATATCGGAACCGCCATCCACCAACTTTAGACGGGTTCGTTCGTAAGCACATATCGACGTTCAATGCATTCATGCTGATAGCTATTGGGTACGTATAACTTGATGAATTCCTTAACTTTTACCGTTTTCGCAGGCATTAGTATGCCTTAACATTAATTGCGCGATAGAGCAATAGGAGCTCCGCAATCTGTAGATTGAAAGCTGTAAAGTAACCAAATTTTCTCTACGTTGATCAATTCCTGAGGTTGGCGTCACGCATTCGACCTTGTCAAACACTGTCAAAGGACGAAAGGATAAAGCTCTCAGCGTTCATCAATCCCTAAAGGATGCGATGCATTTACCTTCAATTTTTACCTTCGTTTGAGGTGACTGAATGCATATCTGGCTTTTACAGTGACTCGCAATGGCCTCCCGCTGAACAGAGTCAGTGCTGCTTATCCTTCTAGACACGTCTGAGACCAGTCTCGTACCATTTTACAGAACCCGGAGGGATGGATGGCTTGATGAGCCATGAGCGCGAAATCGAACCATTGAACTGGCGTGCGACGCAGAGCACCTCTAACCACTGCGCCACATATGCTACAGCTGAAAGCGCTGCTAGAGAAAATAATATACCTGGATATTACGATGATTTATAGTGGACTACCGCTGATTGCGCAAATGATGCTATCCACTTACACTAGTTTGGTATCAAAACGTTGACTCTGCAAAGATGGAGTATTTGGTGAGCCTAGGATGCAGGATCACATCAAAAACCACATGTGAACAGCAGGACAGCTCTAGACACTGAGCCGCACGAGCATCCCTTCTAAGATATTGAAACATTGCCAGCAGTTCACCGAGAGAATTCCTCTGTTCAAAGTGTTAGTAATTGGTAAGCAATCTTAAGGACTTTCTCTGCTCACCCAACGAGAGTTGGTCGTAGTTTTAGCACTATTGCAGTGGTAGATGCCTTTGTTGTAGTTCGATGGCAGACGTTCGGTGACTTCACCTTTTCCAGAGCAACGAAACGTCAGCGATTGAACAACAGCAATGACAACAGCCGCCAATACAGCCAAATTCCCGTCGGCTAGAGAAGAGAAATCGTTAAGAGTTACATACAGAGATTATTGATGCCCAGGTTTCTATACAGTCGGCTATTTGAATTTATGAGCAGACATGGCATAATCCAATTAAGTGACTAATCGGGAACGAAGCATGCGTCAGTACTAATTTCTAATGTCCTTATAGCCCTATTACTGCGCGATATGTCCATAGTCTCCAATATAATATAACATGGGAACTCTAGCAGAATGGAGCTTTCTTGAAATAATCAAGGAAATAATAAAATGCTTTCGCCCTAAATCACTACTTTCCATTCAAGAGCACTTGCTGGTTTTGCTAAATATGGGACTGGTGAATGAGATAAAAAGTTAATTTGAAATATAATTAGCTATTAATGTAAAGTGGTGTGCAAAACTTCTGCGTCACACGGGAGTCGAACCCATATTTCACTCTGTCAAAAGGCTCGTGCTGAACCGTTGCACTACCGACGCCCGTTTTGACGCCACTCTTTTTCTACGCCACAACGCATCCATCTATCGTTTAACAATTTTCAAAGGTCTTACGTGATAGTCCAGTTATGTTCACCACTAAAGGATTCGTTCTAGAAAATAGCATAGTAGATAATTTTTTGCATCAGTCCAAGTAAATGTTCTACTATTATTGTCCAGAAAGTTCATTTATCATCTGGAAAACTACAAGAACACTTTTGAAATGACGCTTGTAGTGGAGTTGAAGGTGATCTATGACCAACAGAATCAAAATGCAACAACGCTTACACTTATGAAGAAAAAGCATGTGTGATCAGAGCAGTCGAGCCTAGATTCGTCAGGATTCTTAATGAGATTTTTTCAGGCTTTTACGAACTGTCCTTTGATTGAAGCTTGCACGATGTTGGTTCTCCGCTTTTGAAATTTGATGGCTAACGTTTCAGCGAGCTCACTTTCACCAGAACCATATAAACATTCATATTGGAAAGGTCACCGGTGTCATATGACAGACTGTGAAAAATTTCTCAAATTTCTTGAAGATAGTAGTGAATCAGATAAAATGTTGTCTGGAACTAGAGTAGTATTGCAGTGCAACAACTTCAGAATTACTCATAGAGTAGTCCAGTTATGTTCACCACTAAAGATTTTCTCCTAGGAAATGTTTCATTAAACGACTTTTCGCATCTGTTTCAGTAGATGATCCATTATGGTTATCACAATAGTTCATTTATCATCCTGAAAACTAAAGGATTACGCCGAAATGACGTCTGTAATGGAGACGACGGTGGTTCATGACGATTAATTTGATCTAGAAGTTATCAACGTTTACAGTTGAGGAGAAAGCACATGTATAACCAGATAGATCCATCATACGTTCGTCAAAATTCTTATTGAAAATTTCTCATTGTTTTTTTTTTTGAAAAGTTTGAAATCTGCAAACATAGGGCGCCTAGTAGAGAACAAATTAACATTACGCGCATGAAGACAACACAGCGCTGTACTTGCCTCAGTGAATAGATTACAAAGCATCATCACTGCTATAAAGATGGCTGAATGGGGAATAATTTTCATTCAATGAGACCAATAAGCGCAAAAAATTTTGGAACGATTCACGAATTTGCGTGCCATCTCCTCGCGCAGGGGCCATGCTAATATTCTCTGTATTATTCCAATTTTAGTATATGTTCAGGAATGAACAACGTGAAGCATTGTGGGACTCTACATATAACCGCCCGCAATGCGGGGTCGCATTTTGTGCGAGTTTGAATTACTATCACGACACTGTGTTACAATAACAATAAAATGGTCGCTCACTATTTCAGACCTATTTTATCAACAAAACTAGCATACAACTTCCATCACCAAGATATAACTTATCCCATTACTATCAATAATCTAATAATTTGTCGAACTCCTCGGAAATGGTGCCTGTTTTCAAAACTTCATTGAATGAACAGATGAAAAATAAGCATTTACTAACTATAGGGCAAACAATTTTCCCTGTAGAATGTCATTTCGGATTTTACATTAATATGTAGGGGTTGATGCTTTCGCAGGTCAACTTTCTCACAACAAAGTTCACTTCAACGTGCTTGCACTTTATAGATGGTTTCCACATTTGCGATTTTCCAAAACATCAGATTTGTTCTTTACACAATTGTGACCATTGAGTTGGGATAAGGCGAATTTGACGGCATGTCCCTACGCCAGAAACCTGCAAACTGCTCTAGACAAATGTCGATCGTCTTCAGCGAGACAAAAGGCTCAAGAGCTCAGCCTGTTGGAGTATGACTCCGCCCACGCCAAAGTGTTGAGTACTCTGTGGCATCAGCACGCCACGTGAATGCTGCTGGTGATATCTGGCAGAGTTGATTTCGATGCTTCCGTTGATGAAGGCCAACGGCGTTTTTCCAGTGGCCCAGATGCCAGCCCAGATCATTATAAAGGCCGGAAAATGAATGTAGCCTATGGTTTTTGCTATTCGGATTTTTGTTGGCCATCCTTGAAAAGTTGACGTCGATTATGGCGATTGTGGAATGGTTCACTTTTGACATGCATTGGGCCGAACACGGCGGATTCGTGTGGGAGCATAATCTACGATCCATCTACTGAGATACGTTGATTTTTATGATACAGAAAACAGATTTAGATCATGCTTGAACAAAGAATAAAATGAAATTATCAGAAATGGTAAGAAAAATATTATATCAATACATAAAATAACAAAATGGAAAGTCTCGCAACTTCTTCGCGCCCCGCGCATTCTCTATCTCATTTTTCACCTTACTGCATGGTTTTCTAATCTTAAATAATTTACAACGCATTAATATGTGTTGTTTCGATGTTAATGTGTCAATGCAGACCGCCACTTCAAGGAAATTGTAATTCATCCAAAGACATAAGCAGTTTTTTTTACCGATGAACACTTAATGTTCCCCTCAAAGTTCAACAGACTACCTACGACCTTTCACAATAAATTCAAAGTGCAACTTTACCAGTAATCTAATAGTAAGTAGCAAACTTGTGCGAACACATGTGCAACTCAACTACTGCGATACGTTGATCTTTACAGATTCATAACTTGAGCTTAACTGGAAGCAGGTAAATAAACAATACAAGTTGTAGACCATATTTGAACAAAGAATTCCGTGAAATTATCAGAATTGATAAAAAAATATTTTACCAATGTTAAAATCAGCAGGATGAGAAATATCAGAACTTTTTCCTCATCACGTAGATTCTTTACCTCGTTATTCACCTCCCTCCAGGTCTTACTAATCTTAAAAAACTTGCAGCTCATTTATCTGTTTTGTTTCGATGTCAGTGTGTTAATTTAGACTGTCATTCCAATAAAATTGTGACTCACTTAACGACAAAATAAACTTTTTTCTTATCTACACGCTCATTTCAACAATTAATGTTTCGCTAAAGTTCAATAGGCACTGCTTATGAGTTACACAATAAATCCAAAGTGCAAACTCACCAATAATTTACTATTAAACAGCACTATCAATCTGACAACGAAACATTTTGATGAAAGCTTAAGAACTCCTACTCTTAAGGGCCTCATGACTGTTCAAAATTTGCAAACTAGTTCCCCATATGGCTCCCAAAAATAGACGTAAATGTAAGAATGGCTTGATCCCTCCTCAGACTCACCAGGCCTTACACCTCTCCTAGAACGGGAAATCAGTATCAGATATGTCTGGATAAATTCGATTTGTGTGGGGAAGAGGCAGCTCAGCTCCTTAGAGTATCAACTAGGCCTACATCCAGCAACACTCGCAAAAAAGACAAATATTTCAAGCAGTAATCGAATAGAGACGGTAAATTTTGGGCACCCTAGCTGAATGTTGAATGCGCGTTAACGAATCGTGTAAGAGAAGTGTAGGGATTCTTATGGGAGACATGAAAGACGAGATGCTTAAAATGAAATAAAAAACACCTAGGCACCTAGGCATCAACTCCTCCATTACCTCTTTACTATTTATGAATGCTTTTGCGTGTACTCAAGCAAAGAACCATTCATAAATTTTGTTCTTTGAAGAGAAATTTCATTACACAGTAGCGAAGTGGCTGCAGTCATGAGTGAGAGTAAAGAGATGATAAAAGGGTTGACATGTTGGTTCAGAGATTGACGTAGTCGCAATTTGTGACAATACGGTGTTTGGAAGACTATAGAGCCAATGATCATCAACCATGAGGAGAAAAATTCTGAAGCCGATAATAAGCGGTGAATACCGGTTGGCTATATAAGCTATAATTGTGTGGATTACTGTGCATAAGATCTTTCTTGTTGGTTCAGTTGTGCATTGTTTGCCACCTTTTGAATATTGAACCACAGAGAGAAAGGTAGTAGAGGTGATGACCACACAGGTTGTCAGGTGCTGCCGCCATGAACGATCTCATACGTTGAACGCTTCCGTGTACCACCTGGAAAATTCCGTCATCGCCGCTTGCTGTGCCACACTGGAATCATTCCATTCCTCACTGATATACCTTATCGCTTATTAATGGCGTAGAGGATAAAGAAGTGATATAATGTGACACAGAATATCCTTTACGCCATACGCGGCCATTCAAGTGATCTTTAAGGAGACCTATTTTCTTGAATTTTCTTGAATGGTGGCCAATTAATGTTATCTTTCCTTTGCAGGAAGATGGGCAACAGTCAGTTCACCGCTTTGCAAATATAGTCACCGTACAAATGGAGTCCACTTTATACCTTTATTTCAAGTGTTCTATTAAGACCATGCTCACATTTCAATAGATCTCTTCATTATTGCTTGTAACAACATGAAATGTGGTCTCGTGAATGGGCCCTTGTAGAGACTGTGAAGGCGAAACTCGTGTGCTGGTTTATACAAGAGTCCTATATCAGACCACATGACATGTTGGCTCAAATAATAATGAAGAGGTTCATTGAAATTTGAACGTGGTCTTGATAAAACACTTGAAATTAAGGTATATTATGATAAAAAACCAGCCAAAGAGCAATCGAGTGTACAACTCTGTAAGTTCGCTGATATTTTCACTTGACTCACAGTGAAAAACGTTCGTCTTCGATACCTCCTAGAGTGGGGACTGAAGCACCCACAGAGGAATGGCTAAAAATATTGAGAGTCGACGGGTTCTCCTCGACTGACGAGACTATCACGTCGAAACACGTGTATGGCGCTGTACAAGAACCCATTTACCAGACCACATGACATGTTGGCTCAAAAAATAGTGAAGAGATGTATTGAAAGTCTACTTCAATTTTAGGGAATCGTGAGGCAGCTATTCTCATGTTTTTTTGGGCGCGATACTGAGGATTTTCGTATTAGCAATTCTGGTGTCAGCGCAGCGACCTGCCTCATAAACGTTCTAACTAATGCCAGACATTATTGCTGTTGAACAGTAAATGACTTCGCCCTCTATATCACGATTGGGTTAACTCAAAATACTAACTATACAGGAACGATCTCAATTGACGTTAAACCGTTGCTCGGTGCATCACGGGA